CATTTCTAAGTCTTCCAGACCTGTTATTGCCCCTTGAACACAGGACATTGAGCACAGACAACCCTTTGTCCTATTCAAGGTGATTAGAATGATGAGTGATTAAATCACTGGTGAGAAGCCACTCTTCTGTTTCTGGTGAATCCACAGTCTGATTTTTGTATCATTTTGTGCAGTGAAGTCACTGGGAAAATTTGGTGGATGGAGATCTTGGCTAGCAGGGAAAAGGATCACTGCCTGAAGCTTTAAGGACCCATGGAACCAAGGAGTCTGATAGCTTTCCGGGCAGAGTGCTAGGCTCTAAGGATGGGACTGAATCTTTTGCTTGTAAGGGGTTTACATGGGTGCAGGAAAGAGAAGCATGGAGACAGAATTTTACTCCAGGGCTATTATTTGATGCTAGTGTTATGCATAGATGCTGGTGACATGAGCTGAGGTAGGAGGTAAAGACCATCTCTCAAACAGTCCAGGGAGGTAGTCTGCGGCAGCACCAAACAGCGGTGAGGTAAATGTTCACACATATTTGTTAAGTGTTTCCAGGCTCTTATCTGAACATCATATACTGGGATGGCTATTTTGATAGTAGATTGTTTTGGCTGACAATTACCAAGAGGAAGGAGTGAATTTAATCTTTTCTCCTTCTGAATATGAGCAGCTAAAGAAGGTTCTGCCCCCACCATGCCCCTTTTGAATAGTTAGGTATGGGAAATTAAGCTCTAGCAAAGAAGAGGTTAGTTGTGAGAATAGATTAGATCTGGCAGGGCACACACATGTTTGGCAGGCTTCCCAGCAGTTGCATGGTTTGAGATGAGCAGAAATGTCCCATCAAGCTAAGCACTAAGGATATGCCACCATTCAGTTTTCTGCCAGCAGTAAAAGTCAATGAGCTCTAGAGGGAGGTTGTTCCAGATTCCTGAACATCATTACAGCAAGAGCTATTAAATAAATGTGAATAATTTTCCTCTCCTCCCATAGCATAATTGTTTTGTTTTTTCTTTCTTTCACCACATTGCTTGTAATGAAAAAATTTTTTTTTCAAGGAGCAGGGCAAAAAATAAAGCAGGAGTAATATATGGCATTTAAAGGCTTATGATCATAAAATATTTTATGATATTTTGTAAATCTGAAGTCTTACTTAGAGGAAAATCTGACGGTTGCAGTGAAGGCTGTCTTCACCATCCCCACAGGATAGAATCACAGTTATGTGAATCGGACTTGGTGGTCCTGGGGCCATGGCAACAAACCGCTTCAGCAATAAATCAGGCTTCACTATGGTTGCTGTGCTTTTGGAGTTGGCACCTTAAGGAGTGTGAGAAGATACTGCTCTTCTAAGTCAATTCCGTTCATGCTTCTTGGTTTTTCCTGTGTGTCATTTGCAGTAAGTGGGGTGGTAGACATTTGGGGGAGAAGGAAAATGATTCAGTTACTCTTGATTCACACCTCATAGGCCAGCCAGATCTTCCTTGAAAATGACTGTGTGGACCATGAGTTGTTTAGAATCACTTTGGCATGGACAGTGGAATGTACACGTGTGTGTGCATGTGCACACATGCATGTGGATGCGCACACGCACATGCAGAATATAGTCTACATCCTTGGATCAGTTAACATTTGTAGCACTCTAATCAAGAACCACTTACTCCAGAAGTGGTTGTTCAGCATTTGGAAAGGTAATTAAAGTCCAACGAGTCTCCAGAACTGGCTGATAAAAGAGTGAGAGCTAAGTCTATCTCTAATCAATCCCAAAATAATTCATGTTCAAGACAGAGATTTGTTGGAAGTACTATGCAGTCATGCCCCTCCTTCCTAAACCTTTCCTTCCTTTTATGAATTAGGAGTAAGAATCTAGCACACCTAAAAGCCCTTTTGGATAACATTGTAGACTGGGATTGTGATTAATCTTATGGACAGTTGCATAAGGAGGATTTTGCTGTTTGATTTTTATTAGTCTGTTATCTGAATTCCATTGCTAAGAGACTGTGTGGTCTGTTTTCAAATGAACCTGTCAAGAAAATGGGTTCTACATGCTGCTGAAGTTTTAGAATAGTCTTGATTTGATTTGGAGAACAGGTATATGGTTGTACATTGAATTACTTTTACCATTCTGTATGCATAGTCAAATTGAGTTGGCCAAATTCATTCTTTTATTTTAACCTGGCTAATGGCTTTAACATGGTGGGAAGGAAACCTCAGAGACCTTCTTCACCTCTTTCTTTTGGTGGCGGCAATGTCTGCAGAGAAAATAATCTGATTTCATGAATGGCTTTCCATCAACGTGATTGCCCTGTCAACAAATGCTTAAGGACATCTTTTTCTTCAATGACACCCAGAGGAAAGACTTTTCCTATCAGAAGGACAGTCACCAGAGAATATCATACAGTATATTTCTAATTATTTCTTCTCTACTTTTAGATAGAACTTCTAAGAAATATTTAGTGTTTGAACAATTTTCAAAAGAATGTTTTCTTTTTATGCTTTATCTCCATAACACCTTTTATTTTTCTGGGAGCAATGTCAGAGAAGGGTATTTTGAAAGAAAATTCTGTTGCACTGATTAAAGGAACATTTACAGGTTACAGAAGTCATTTTCTATGGATGATTCTGGTGGTGCTGAAAGAGAGGTCAAGCAAAGGATGGGGAACAGATTTTCCCCAAACCAATGGCAATGACATTCAAAAAACTTAGTAGACATTTATTTGGTGATAAAATAAATCAACACTCTGCAGACTTCGATGAAAGATTCTTCTTGTATGTTCTGTAGGATTAATGCTTTAGGAACACTGAAGAATAGATAAAGAAAAATGAACTTATTAGTTGAGTAATGAAACCATTGTAAACAGAACACAAGAGAATTGTTTGGTTACAATGTCTTTTTAGATGGCTGGTCCATTTGCTTGTATTTGATAGGGAGCGTGATGAGCTTGCAGAGCATAATTTTCCTCCCAGTATTGTCTTCCCTTGCTTGAACTTGTACTGCGCATGCTTTCACACCTGTAAAGAGAAGATCATGTGTGCTTTCATGCCTTCCAGAAAGTGAATTTTGTCCACGTGCATAGCTTCCATGTAACACATCCTCAATCACTTCATTTGTTGGAACCAGGTAATAAAAATGAGATTTCCTTTAACCAGTGGCACTCTGACACTCATAAAAATGAAGTAGTGGAATCAGTCAGCAGGCTTAGAGGAAGGCCACGTGCCAAAATATACGAGTTTACATACCATAAATTATAATGTCAAAGAGGTTCAGGCAATATCACGCAAATTTGGAAAAGAAGGTAGGAAGGAGAAAGCAACTCTTTCCACTGTAATGTACCTTGATGAGCCTGAGTTCTACATAACTAGTGTAGGTATGTCCAATAAAAGGAACAGTTGCTACAATCTAAATTGCTCTGAATAATTTGTATCAAATTGAGACCCAGGGAAGGAAAACATACTGTAATTTTACAGGAACCAATTTGAAAGTGTAAAAACTATGTTTGTTCTTTAAATGATGCAAATTAAAATAGTTCTATAACTGTGGGATAGAAGACAGACTAATCAAATATTTGTCAAATAATAAATCAAGTTGAAATAAATATGATTTTCTATAATTCTCTAGTTTTCTTCTACCTAAATTAATGCCATTTCACCTTAACTTATGATCTTGAGATCATTATTTTTAGACTAAAATCTAGGAAGTGACGCATATTCTACTTTGCTTTTTATACAAAGTATTTAGCAGTTTTCTTCAATCTTACTTTCTGCTAGTGAAATGGTAATTGCAAGATGCTTGAAAAAAATAGTGGCCATATCATAATTGAAGTTTTTATATCAATGCAGAATGGACAATGGCTCAAGATATAAATAACTTAAAGATTTTTGTAATGCTCTATGAGAAAATTGTGGTACAAAGATTTTTTTTCATTTGTTTCAGTTTCTTTTACTGTTTTCTGTGAATCACCTCTATCTTTTAAAACTGAACCCTGAAATAAAATAACTAATTTAAAAAATAGCACAGTTAAAACACAAAATGAAATTGCTGCCATAAATATACTGCGTCAGGTCAGTCAAAGCTTATTACAGATTATTTTTATTTTTATATTTTACTAGTTTCCGCTACTAACCAAGATAGTTGATACTTTTCCATGGCAGCTGAATAAAAGGAGGCAATTTATATAAAAGATTACATTTGAGCACTAAATGGAAATTTACAGTTCACGCACTTCAACTTATTTAGATTTGGGAAAGTGAAGGGTGTGTAGGCTTCATGGCTTCTCCATGGTCAGAGGTCCTGCTTCTATTGTTGCGGTGCTCCTTTTCTTAACATTGTGTTCATTTGATGTCTTGTACCAAGAATACTAAAAATTCTTTAAATATTTGGTCCCTGCCTGTCCCCTAGTCCTCCATCTGTGTGGACATCTGTTCTACATGTTTCATGTTGTTTTTCAGGGATCTCAGTCCTTTCCCATCTGACTAGTACCTCTGAGCTGGCCGATCCACCCACTTGTTCAAGGGCCTTATGAAGCCCTAAGAGCCACTTGGCTCAGGGGACAGCAGAAGGTTTGCCGCGGCTGTGATTTCTGCTGGTGTTAATTATGCAGGCCCCGCAGCTTATGCACACATGAATACATTTTAATTCTGCTATTCAAATATTGAAAGACATTATTTAAAGAATTATCTAAGTGGTGTGTGTTGATGCTATTTTCAATGAAAAGGGTCTTTCCACAGTCATACACAGATCAATGAAATTTTGTAATAATCCTGAAAAACAAAAGAAAACAAAACAGGGTGGAAACCTAAACATTAGCTTTGAAAGACTGATGAACCATATAATCTGAAAAACAAAATTACCTACAAAGGCTTTTTAAGAATGCTGTGGCTTCAGACATTGCAATGAGTTTTTAATATTTATCTTCTTAGGAAATGAAAGGAATAGGGTTTTTAGAAGAACAGGAGAATATAGTGTGAGACATCATATTTGATCTTTAACTTTTTTGGTAGGGAGTTTTTTTTGGAGTACACCAGGTGCTTTAATGAGGACACCACAAATCAGAAGGACTAACTCATATTTTTCAGTTTTGTTTTTGCAGTGCTAAGGATGGAAACCAGGGACTCACACATGTTAGGTAAGAACTCTATAATACAGATTCTGAGAAACACACCAACACTGAGTTAATATATATGTAATGGAAATCTATCTTCCATGTCTAAATTGGGATAGCAATTTCTCCCATAGCAAGTCTAGATAGGATGGAACATTCTGATGTTATCTGAATCTATTTAGGTCTTGAATTTTAGACACAACATAGTATGAATTCAGAAATTGAAGTATTTGGAAATAAAACAAGAATTACATTATCAATTGTATCTGAATCTGTTATTTCCATAAGGTGGAGAGTGAGAGTTTTAACAAAACATTTCTTGTATTTTTAAGGATATAAGATTAAACAGTTACTAAAGACTCTGAATATTTTTATGATAATTATCTAGAAAAACAAATTTGGGAGAAAAATATTGACAAAGTAGGATAATAAAACATCTGTCTTTGGGGTGAGTTTGTATTTATTTATTTATATATTTATTTATTTTAAAGAGGAAAAAATAAAACAAAATTTCAAAAGAAGATAATAGGAGTGTAACAATGGTTAATACACTGCATATTATTACCTTTAAATTAGTTATTCAGTGTACAAGAAATAGGCATTTAATTTTCCAAACAATATTAGCACAAACTTTTCAATGAACTCAGACAAATTAGTAGTATACCTATCTTACCTAATATATATAATTTTTTCTCCTTTCCCTCATTCCAGTTTCTCTTTCTTTTTGAAAAGTTTCCTCCCATTTTACAGTATCTATTGTACAATTTTGGTTGTATTTACTCTTTGAGCTTCTCACACTAGGGAGGCAATGTGATGTTTGTACATGTGCACCTGGTTTATTTCACTTATGAGTGTGGTCTCAAGTTGCATCCATTTACCTATAAAAGCTTCCAGTTTATCCTTTATGGCTGAGCAGTACTCCATTGTATAAAAAGACCACATCTTTTTTATGTGTTCTTTGGTTTATGGCATTTGTGTTGCTTCCAAGATCCAGCTATTACAAATTGTGTTGTTATAAACATGGGTGCAGATGTATCCCTGTGGTATGATGCTTTCAGTTCTTCTGGGAAGATACTCAGAAGGGGAATAGCTGAGTCAAATGGAACCTCCAATCCTGGATTTTGAGGAATCTCCACACTGATTTCCACAGTGATTGCACCAGTCTACACTCCCACCAACAGTGGGAAAAGGTTCCTTCATCCACAGTCCTGACAGTATTTGTTATAAGTTGATTTCTTGATGGTAGTCATTCTTTCTGGGGTGAGGTGGAATCTCAGTTTAGTTTTAATTTGCATCTCTTGAATGACCAATGATGTTGAAAATTCTTTCATATGTTTATTTGGTGTTTATATTTCATCTGAGAAGAGTGTATTCATCTGAGATGCCCAATTTTGGATTGAGATTTTAAATTTTGGAGGTCTGATTTTTTGAGTTCTTTATATGTCTCAATAGTAATCCATCTGGGAAACAGCTGGCAAACCTTTTTCTCACATTATGGTTTGCTCTTCACTCGGTTGGTGCTTCCTCTCACTGTGCAAAAGCTTTTTTAACAAGATAAGATCTCAGTTGTTGATACTTTGAGACAGTTCCTGTACAATCAGGGTTTTATTCATAAAGTCTTTGCCTACACAAATGTCTTCAAGAGTTCTACCTATTCTATATTCCAGCAGATTTAGTGTCTTAATATTTAGATCTTTGATCCATTTTGAATTTAGTTTAGTGCATGGTGAAAGATATGGGTCCAATTTTAATCTTGGGCATGTGCAGAGTCACTTTTTCCAGAACCATTTATTAAAGAGGCTATCTTCCAGTGCATGTGTTTGGCACCTTTGTCAAAGATAAGATAGGTGAATACATCTGGAGTTATTTCTGTATCTTCTGTTTGTTACATTGATCATCAGGTCTGTTTTTTGCCAGTACCATGCTGTTTTTATTACAGTAGCTTCATAGTATAATTTCAAGTAGAGATAGTGATGCCCCCTGCCTTCCTTTGTTGCTCAGAATTGCCATTGCTTTTCTATGTCTCTTCTGGTTCCAAATGAATTTTAGGAATATTTTCTCTAATTCTGTGAGTTATGCTGTTGTAATTTTGATCAGAATTGCATTAAATCTGTATAACAGTTTGGGGAGCATGGCCATTTTCACTATATTGGTTCTTCCTACACAAGAGCAAGAGATATCTTTCCATTTTCTGATATTCTCTTCAATCTCCTTTCTCAGAGTACTATAATTTCTAATGTAGAGATCTTTTAGATCCTTCATAGATTTATTTCTAGGTGTTTTATTTTGGGGTGATATTGTGAAAGGTGTTATTTCCCTAATTTATCTCTCAGTGAGTTTGTTATTTGTGTACAGGAAAGATATTGATTTTTGATTGTTGACTTTATATCCAGCTACAGTACTGAGTCTGTTTATAAAATTTAGCAGTTTTTTAGTGGCATTTTGGGAGTCTTCTATGTATATTACCATATCACCTGCAAATAACGATAATTTAAAATTTTTGTTTCCTATTGGTATTCCTTTTATTTCTTTCTCTTATGTAATTGCTTTGCCTAAAATTTCCAAGACTGAGGGCTGAGGATTTAGCTCAGCAGCACAGCACCTGCCTGGCAAGTGCAAAGTTGTGAGTTTGATTCCTGGTACCAGAAAAAAACAAAACAAAACAAAACAAAACAAAACAAAACAAAACAAAACAAAACAAAATTTCCAAGACTATGTTAAATAAGAGTGGATACAGCGGACATCTTTGTTTTGTTCCTGATTTTAGAGTGAATGCTTTCAGTTCTTGTCCATTTAGTATGATGTTGGTTGTTGGGTTTTCAGATGGCTTTTTATCAGATTGAGATAAAGACCATCTACTCCAATTTCCTTTAGGGTTTTTATCATGAATGAGTGTTGGACTGTATCAAAACCTTTTTCTGCATATTGAGAAGACCATATGATTTTTGCTCTTGGCTCTATTAATATGGCACATTTCATTTAATGATTTATGTATGATGAACCATCCTTGCATCTCTGGGATGAATCCTACTTGTTCATGGGGTATAATCTTCTTGATGATTTGTTGAATTCTGTTTGCCAGTATCTTACTGAGGATTTTTGCATTTATGTTCATTAGGAAGATTGGCCTATGGGTCTCTTTCTTAGTTGGGTAGTTCTTCAGTTTTGGTATCAGGGTAATGTTTTCTTCCAGGAATGAATTTGGGAGTATTGCTTCCTCTTCAATTTCATTAAAGAGTTTGAGAGGTAGTGGTGTTAAGTCTTCTCTAAATTTCTTGTAGAATTCAGCAGTGAATCTGTCAGGGCCTTTCTTTGTTGGTAGGTTTTTAATTACATCTTTAATTTCATTGTTTGATATTGGTTTATTTAGGAATTTTATATAGTCTTGATTCAGCTTTGGCAATTTACATGTATCTAGGAATATGTCCATTTATTCTACATTTTCCATTTTTTTAGTACCAGGAATCAAATTCAGGATTTTGTGCTTGCCAGACAGGCACTGTGCCACTGAACTATCTCATCAGTCCCTGCATTTCCCATTTTATTAGAATACAAGTTTTCAAAGTAGGTGTAGATGATATTCTAGATTTCTTCAAGGTCTGTTGTGATTTCAGACTTTTCATCCCTAACTGCATGTATCTGAGTCTTGTCTTCCTTTTATTTGGATAAGTTTGGATAGGGGTTGGCAATTTTATTTAATCTTTCAAAGAACCAACTCTTTTTTTATTTTAAAAATAAAATAAGGAAAACATTAACAAACACAACTATTTAAAAAATAGCAAAAGAGCAATACAAACAATACAGAGTTACAAACAAAGTGGTAGGAAATTAACAATGCTTGTTGAATTACATATTGATATCTTCAAAGTGGTTTCTCAGGAAAACAAATAAAGACATGCAATATTGATCAATCAAGGAATCATTAATTGTTTCTTTCAGCAAAGAAATAGAAGACAGTAGCTCAACTATGTTAACTATCCTGTATATACATACATACAAAATTTCAAGAGACCCAGAATAGCAAAAGCAACCCTGGGCAACAAGGACAAGTCAGGTGGAATCACAATCTCTGACTTGAAATTATACTACAAAGCTACTGTAATAAAATCAACCTGGTACTGGCTAAAAAACAGACCTGAGGATCAATGGAACAGACTGGAAGAAACAGCCACAACCACAAACATACTCAGCCACCTAATCTTTGATAAAGGATCCAAACAAACTCATCAGAAGAATGATAGCCTGTTTAATAAACGGTGCTGGAAAAATTGGCTTGCTACCTGCCAAAGACTGAAAATAGACCCAAGTCTATCACCATGCACTAAACTCAAGTCAAAATGATTCACAGAGCTCAATATTAAAACTAATTCTTTGATTCACTGATTCTTTGCAGCTTTTTAGTCTCTAATGCATTAATATCTGTTCTGATTTTTATAATTTCCTCCTTTGTGTGAGCTTTTGGTTTAGCCTGTTCTTCTTTTTATAGAAGTTTGAGGTTCACTATTAAGTTTTTTGTTTGTACTTTCTCATTTTCCTGGTATGGGTGTTCACTGCTATAAATTTATCTCTTAAGACTGCTTTCATTGTGTTCCTCGAATTCTGATATGTTGTATTATCATTGTCATTTAATTATAGACACTTTCTTCTTTAATTTCATCTGTGATCCATTGATTATTTGCGAGGGTGCTATTTAATTTCCAGGTGTTTAAGAAGTTTTGTGGTTTCTTTTGCCATTGATTTCCATTTTCATTGCACTACAGTCTGATAATATGTACAGGATAATTTCAATTCTTTGCATTTATTTAAGTGTGTTCTGCAGGTCAGTATGTGGTCTATTTTGCAGAAATGTTCCATGTGCAGCTGAGAATAATGTATATTCTGGTGTTGTGGGGTGGAACACTTTGTAGACATCTACAAAGTCCATTTGTTGAAAACCTTGATTCAATTCTAATATTTCATTATTGAATTTTTGTCTAGTTGATCTGTCTTTTTGGGACAGTGGGGCATTGAGATCCCCCAATAAAATGGCATTAGTGCTTACTTTATTTTTTATGTCTGTTAACATTTGTTTTGTATAGTTGGGGGCACTGGTATTTTTTGCATATATTTTTTATGACTGTTATCTTTTTCTCCTTGAATGTTGCCTTTACAAGTATATAGTGACTTTCTTTATCTCTCTTAATCAGTTTTGGCTTGAAATTCACTTTGTCTGCAAATAGAATAGCTACTGTTTCTTTTTTCTAGGTTCATGTTGTATGGAATATTGTTTTCCATTCTTTGACTTTCAGTCTTTGAATTTCTTTTTTAATTAAATGTATTTTTTGTATGCAACATACTGTTGGATTTTGCTTCTTGATCAATTCTACCAGTTTGTGTTTTCTGATTGGTGAATTGAGACCACTAGGATTGATGATTATAACTGATACATATTGCCTTATCCTTGTCATGTTATTTTCCTTTTGTTGACTCCCTGTTTTTTTCCCTCCTTCTTTTTTATTGTTTCCCTTGCCCAGTGGATTCCTTCTGTTGGGGTTCATGGAGTTGTAGTCCTTGTTATCTGTTTCTAGAATATCCTTCATAAATTTTCTCAGATGTTGTTTGTCATGGAAGTATCTTCTTTCTCCATCAGTTTTGGAAGATAGTTTTGTGGGGTACATCAATATGAGTTGAAGGTTGCTTTCCTTTAGAACTTGAAATACTTTGCTCCAAGCTCTCCTTGACTTGAAGGGTATGTCTGAGAAGTCAGCTGTGATTCTGATGGGCTCTTTTTTATAGGTGATTTGTTTCTTTTCTCTATCAGCTTTTAATATTCTATTCTTGTGTTGAATTTCTGGAATGTTGATTATGATATGCCCAGCAGAAGATTTTTTTTTGATCATAGATAACTGGAGTTCTATATGACTTACTTAACTGCATGTCAAATTCTTTCTCCCTGCCAGGGAATTTTTCTGCCATGATGTCTGTGAACAGTTGTTTTTATATCATTTGTGCTATCTCCTGCTTTTTCATCTATTCCAATCAATCTTATATTATTCTTCTTTGTATTGTCTAGCAGCTTCTGTATGGATTTCTCATGGTCTCTTGCTATTTATAAGAAATGTTTCTCTTCACAGTTGCTAACCACAAGCCTGTCTTCTATATCTGAGATTCTGTCCTCACCTTGGTTTAATCTGCTGTGGATACTTTCAGTGAATTTTTATTTTCCAGAAGAGCTACTGGAATCTGTCTTATTGATTCCATTTCTTTCCTATGCTGAGCACTCATGGCCTCCATAATTTTCTTAAGCTCCTCTATTTTTGTTTTATCTGCTCCAGAGTCACCAGACATGGTTTTCACTGTGGACACCACCATTACAGTTACCTGAGAAATTATTTCTGATTTGACTTTTTTCTAAAGCCTCATTTAATTGCTTTTCTGTTACCACTTCAGAGAGGCTAGGTGGGTGGCTTTTGGATCTCCCCCCCTTCATTGCCTCCTGGGTTTGCCTTTGATGAACTGGATGTCTAGGGTAGCATATTGCTTAAGTGTCTTCTTATTTTCTTTTTATAGTTTAATTCCTGGGTGATGCTTGTAAATTGCCTATGGTGGGTTGCCTTATTGCTAGTATTTAGAATCCTTAAGAAATGACTACTTTCAGAGGTATCTTCAAGGTGTAACAAGTGGTTTTTGGATTTTGAATCTGTTACAAGATCCCACATCTTCAATTTGTTGAGGATGAGAAGTTGCTGCCTGTTTGGTCCAGCCTCTGCTTCTTTGGCACTGTGTCACAGTATTGTCTATGACCCTTAGTCAATCTCAGTTTTGGAATACCATGAAGATTAGATGTGTAGAACAGTTATGTCACTTTTGGCTAAAGTGGAACCATCAGCAGTAACAGTAGCATCAATCACAGCCTAAAAAATGAGGTAACCATTAATTTGCTGTCCTTACCTGTATGAACTAGATTTGTGGTTATTAACAAAATCTAAAAGATACCAGAAAATTATATGCAGTATATAAGTCTTTAGTATGTTAATTTTATCCTCAGGAATTAAAATTTAAAAGAGGTTAGGGAAAAATAGAGAGGTAAAAGAAGAGGAAGAGACTAGAAGTAAAGCTGAAGGACAAAGGGGGATCATGCTAACTTTGGGAAACTGGTGCAGAAACCTGGAGGGAAAGAGAGAAGGAAGAGGTAAAAAGAAGAACAGAACAGAACAACCACAAAGGGCCTAGAAGCCATGTTCACACTCATTTTAAGAACAAGATCAAACAAGGAAGGAGAAAAAATGGAAACAAAAAAAAATAAACAACCACAATAAGAAAAAACAAGAGAGAAAGAAAGAGGGAGGGAGAGAGAGAGAGAGAGAGAGAGAGGGAGAGAGAAAGTAAACTGAAAGAGTGTCTCTGCTGTCATTGGTAGACAGTGTGTGGAGACAGTCCTGATCCATGTTGGTTTATCCCAGCAAGTCAGCAGTAGCTTTTTTACAGGGCAGTGGGTAAGCTCAGGGAGCCTGCACCTTCTGGCCAAGAACAGACTCATTTGGCCTGTAGCTGTCAGCACACCTTTTATGGGCCTGAGCGCGTCCGAGAGCCACTAGATGGAGCCAACAGGTGCTGAGTTCTGAGCTCAATTGGCCCCTCTCCAAGGTGTCTCCTGGTCAGTTATTCACTCATATGGGAAAAGTGAGACCTCATCACTCACTGCAAGCTAGTGCATTCATTCACATCCACTGCTTCCCTCCACTGATGCATCTCTTTGTGGAGGTCTCTGGGGTCACCAGAAGTCACTGTGTGTCCACAGGTTTTAATTGCTCCTCTTGTGCAGTGAGTCCCATCTCAGGGAAAAGGTACTGCCAGCTACCTCCTTCTTCCTCATTGATATTTTTCTCTTGATTTTCTCTGTGGGCTTCAATTCACACTTCAGATCCTTCTTGTCTTCTTCACATTGCTATATTCCAGCATCTGGACTGTGACTCTCAGAGAAGCTCTTTCTATGGTGCTTACCACTCTGCCATCTTGGTGCCTCTGAGCCAAGTTTAGTTTTAGACTTGAAGCATGAAGATGCAGAAAATATCCCCCTAAATAGTGTTGGGGATGTTGAGGCATGTAGAGGGAACAATGATATATAATGATATAGCTTTCTTCAGGTGGAGGTGTCTGAATGGAGAAAAGGAGAAAGAGAGAGAGAGAGAGAGAGACAGACAGATAGACAGGGAGAGGGAAGGAGAGAGAGAAGGGAGAGGGAGAGGAAAGGGGAGAGAGATAAAGAGAGAGAGAGAGACAGAGAGAGAGACAGAGAGAGACAGAGACAGAGACAGACAGACGTGGGTCAGGGCTTGACCTTCTCAGTTCAGTGCAATAAAAGTTACCAGATTTTGCTTGTAGAGTAGTCTCTTTCCATGTTCAAGTTTAAGCCAACACAGAAACCATCTTATTTGACTAGAGATAGGGATTTCTATGGAAACCACTGGATCTAGAGTGTACAGTCCAAAAACTATAACATCCCAAGGAATAGCACTGGCAGAGGCAAAGGTTTGGCAGCAGGACAAGGTGCTCTGATTAGGAAACAATAATAAGAACATGAATGTTAATGTTAATGATAATAATGATGATGATTAAAATTGTTAAAGGCTATGGTCTGGTACTTTACCAAGCAATTTTTATGAATGGTCCATTTAGTTCCTCATAACACTATGTAAGTTATTTGTATTATGCATATTTTCCAGATAGCAGAACTATGAAGCAGAAGATCATGGACTATCTAGGATAACATAGCTAAGAACTGGGAGAGGTATCCTGGAAAGCTGGCTGTCCTGCACACAGAGTTCACATTCCTAAACATCATATTATTGTACAGAAGAATTCTTCCGAGGTAGGGGCTAGTTATGTGAGACTTATTATCTAATTACAAAGCTGGCAAAGTCTTAGAAAAAAAAGTAATTTTATTGTGTAATCTTATTTTAAAACAAGTAAAATTTGAAATATTTGTATTGTACTATATTATTCCTACCATTTTATTAAAGTTGGTTAACTTCACAAAAATATCCTGTGTTCTTTTCAAGAAAGTCTTCAGAAGATTTCAGTCCATTTTTACATATAGTTAATTGTGATATGAGATCATGAGATAGTTAGTTTTGTAACTCTCATCTGTCTTATAGCTTGTAAATTATGTTGATAGATTTTTTCATACATTGAAAACAGAAATAATTTATTTCAGTATGTGTCCAGTGAAGTTATAGACTCCTCAGTGAACTGTGAACTCATCCTAACTGCATTCAGTGACTACAAGGTGCTCAGGCTTCAGAGGCACAAGCTACATTGTTGTAGGTGTTAATATAACAGGGTATGTCAGGGCAGGAAGAGTTCTTTCTACCAACCTGATCTCAGGGGAGAGAATGCGATGCTCAGGACCAAGGACAGCAGCAACAGAATAAGTATCCTTGACAATATCCTGTATTGGATGTGAATACAGAAAATAGGGAGTAAACTGATGCCAAACTCCCTGAACTTCAGCCATAAATTTAGTCATTTTGAGCCTAGAAAACAAATTCTTAACTATAAAGAAAATTGTCCCTAGATTGGGACAGGAATCTTATTTTTCACTCAGTTTTATTACCCTGTAATTAGCTTTTGGGGGATAAGCATGGAAAATGTGTTTATTTCTCTCCTTTCATCTTACATGTAACTTGTTTCCCTCTATCTTGGAATCATTAATGAATATTTTTGTATTTATTCTGGTGTTTGAGAAAGAAACAATAATTTTCCCATTTGAATTTCCTTTCAATTTTGCCTAATTAAAATTTGATATCACGTGTCAAGTGATTCATTTGTAGCATTTGTATCTAGTCATTTGGGTCAGCAGCCCTGCATAAAAGCAATTATATTGGGTAATTCCCAGTTATCCACATGTGGCTCAAGCAGATGTGTGTCCTTTAAAATCTCCAGATGCCATTTCAGGGAAAAGCACAAAGCATAACAGAAATACACTGTACTCAGCCAAAAGCCTCTTTAGAATAAAGTTCTAGGTAACAATCACGCAAGGGCTTAGCCAGGCATTCCAGACCTCAGCACTATCACCATTTTGTCCCAGATAATTCTTTGTTTAGAGGCTGTCATGTGCATTCTAGAACGATTAGCAGTTTCCTTGTCCTGTATTCACCAAACACCACTAGTACTCCCCTAATTGTGATGGCCAGAAATGTTTCAGACATCGCCAACCATTTGCTGTAGGCTGAAATTGCCCCCAATTGAGAACTCTTGATCTAAAAATACATGATATACCTCACCTTCCTCTTCAAGTTTTGCCTGTTGTGTGCCTTCTTTGAAACATACCACAGGCATATGAAGAGAAGTGAACATATGTTTTCTCTCAAAAGCATGCCATGATATTTTGTAAGTGAGTCTCATTCATGGGTAGTTTGTCTTTTGTCTTTCTTTTTTGCGGGTACTGGGGATTGAATCCTGGGCCTTTGTGTGAGCTACATCTTCAGTCCTATTTTTTTTTTTTTAAATTTTGAGACAAAGTCTTGTTAAATAACTTTCTCAGGCAGAGCATGAACTTGAAATCCTCCTGCTGTAGCCTCCCAAAGGCCTGGGATTACAGATTTGAGCCATCCTGCTTGACTCATGCACATATCTTAACCCCACACCAATAAACACGACAAAACCTTTCAACTAATTAAAGCTGCAGGTTACAGTTTCTAGCAGTAACTGCTCACATGAATGGCAGCTTTTGGAGCACTTTGAAATTATTCCTAATTTTCATTCATAAAAGCATTGCTAGGTTATGTTAGATATTTATGAATATTTTTCACCTTATAGATAAAAATTTAAGTCATCAGAATCACACAGTCAGCTCATGCAAATGCTGGATTTGGAGCTTGAGTATTTTGTAGTTTCAAAGCACTTGTTGAAGAGGTCTTCATGGGAGTATGGAGAAAGGAGTGTGGAGTATGAGGCTTGATACCACTTGGTACAAATATATTTTAGTTCTACTATTGCCTAGCTGTGGATATTGACCAGTCATCTTATTTTTATTTTCCTTATGTGTAAAGTAATAATTACATTTTATAAGGTTGCAAGGTACATTATCAGTTAAATAGGATTTGATCACAGTATTGATAAATGCAAAGTGTGTAAGTACCACAATGTAAATGTTTGGTATTTTATTGATGATGAGAACAAGTGTACCACCATTTACACTGCTGTGCAGAGTGAAGAGGAAAAGGGAAAGCAGAGATTGGAGCCAAGCTGTGCCACGGACAGGCACCTCTGGTTCATCCTCACTCCACCTTTGCTTTCTTATCCCTAAGAGGAGGAGAAGAATGATACCTTCATGTAGAGTTTTGAAGATTGAAAATTACACAAAAAGGAGCTCCATATGCAAAGTATAACAGCAGCGATAATTATATGTATTTGTCCTGAGGATTGAACCCAAGGCCTTGTATATGCTAGAATAGCAATTATTATTACTCACAAAATACATTTGAATTATTTCTTAGCTTAGCTAAATTTAAGCTTAGCCTCCATAGTCTTGCCTGAAATGTCCCTTGGCAGTCAAAAAATTTTTTTTGTAGGATAGGGTCTTAGTTGCTTTTCTCTTGTTGCTGAGACAAAATACCTGACGCCCAGAATTAAGGAAAGAAAGGTTTATTTAGCTCACAGTCTGTGGAGGTTTCAGTCTATATACAGCTGGCTCCAAGGCAGAGTGCCACATGGCAGAGGACAACTGTTCATGGCAGCTGAAGATAGCCAAAACAACAAGAGCAAAAGGGAGGAGCAGTGGCAAGCAGCTTCCTTCCCTCTCGTACACTGTATGCAATCTGTCTGCGCCAGGGCGGGTGTAGCACTCACATCTATAATTCCAACATTGGATCATGAATCAATCATAAACTCTAGAAGCCTGCCCCATGACTTCACAAGGCTTTGGGGGGACATTCAGACAACAAACCATAACACCTAGAGAAAGCTTGTCATCTTAGACAGAAAGGTATTTGTTGAACAGAAGCTATAGGAGAATGAAAGTATGGACAGAGGTCTGGGTCTAAGAAGCAGGAAGATTCTAAGGGGAGACAGAAATCTGGAGTCAGCCAGCAGCTTTTGGGCATCACTCAGCGGGGGCAGTCTGGACAGTGTGCAGTCATCATGGCAAAGGACTTCTGTCGGTGCCTCACATCCTGTACTACATCCTAGACGCTTGAGGGCCCAGGAGAGTGGTCTGCTTGGCTTCTCCTGTAAATAGGGGGCTGGTGAGGACAGGGTGTGGCCTTTTGGCTTCTGTGGTGTGACAGACACAACTTCCGGCCAGAAATGCACAGCACAGGGGAAAGAGACGTCCTGAGACAGAAAGGTGTTGTGGGCAGTCCTGCATGGCGTGCACCTAGGGTACCTCCCGGAAGGTGATGGGTAGGGGGGTAAGATTGGTGTTCCCTTTTAACAGCACTGTGGTATTACAAGCGCAGTACAGTTATAAATTTTTAATAAATTCCTTCACTGAGAGTCAAATTTTTCTATTTTATGGCTGAATATTTATTTTGAATAAAGTCACAATATCTCACCAGGGAGAATAATGAGAAGTGACTTAAAGAGAAAAGAAAGATGAGTTCTTTTGACCACATTTGACTGAGCACTTACAAAGCACCCATCACCAGTTTGGTGCTGAGGGCAGAGGTGCAACTCAGAACAGGGGTTTTTCCTCTAAGAAGCTAGCCATCCATTTAAAGATACAGACAGGTATGTTAACAAGAAGGTGGAGAAAAGTAGCTGCGATATAATGAGGCAGACGTCTGCTAATAAGGGCATTATACAAAGTGCTTTGGCATCACAAAGCAAATGCCTCGCTGTGGTAGCAATGGGAGCTCAGACCTGGAGTACAAATCGGACAGGAGAAAAAAAAGGGAAGTGGATATTCTAGGAAGAGAAACATCCAAGGCAAAGGAAAAGTATCTAAGAAAGAAAGAAAAGTATCTTTCTAAGAAAGGGCAGCAGCTTGAATCCCGAGCCTGCTCTCACTGCTTCTCCTACTGCAGCTCATTGGCCTCATTGTCATTTTGTGTGACTTTTTATTGCAGTGATCAAGTTGCTGGGTAAGAATCAGCTGTTTCATTAGATTGTGTTTAAAGTGAGGAGCCACGTTTCCGGGATACTTTCATGACAGTAGTATTTCTGCATGTGTCCTCTGTCTAGGACTGCCATGGAGATAGCCCTTAGATAGACACTATTCCCAAAAAAGAAGGATGTCAGCCTTTGCAGAGAGATGTCCCCACTGCCAATCCAATTCCATTTTAAAAGTCCTTCAGCCCATTTTCTTAAGACTTAAATCAGCAGGTCTGGCTCGGATGCAGTCGGGGCCGTGTGTGTTTAGACAAAGTGCGTTGGAGGGTGGTACAAATGTATTATGAATTAGCAGCCTTAATTAACTACTACAATTAAAGTAAAGACAGGCATTAGAACAAACGATCCATGCAGATAGTTAGAACAGTTCTACATATGTGAAGGAATCTCTCTTTTTCTTCCTGTGTTCAGGCAAAGCCATTCAGAACGAATCTCCTTTGATAATTACTAAAAGAATCAAATATATTTCAAAAAGTCAGGAGTTGCCTAAATTTAACGAAACAATGAGAAAGGTAACCCCAAGTTTTGGATCGTTACACAAAGGGTCAGTATATTTTTCCGTAAGGATTCAGATAGTGAATATTTTAGATGTTATGGTCCATAAATACGTATTACAACTGCTGAAATTTGGCATTGCTAAAAGAAAGAAGCCACAGAGAACATGTAAGGGAATAGGGATGGCTGTGTTTCAAAAAATTTTGTTACTGGGCCTTAAAATTTTGAAATATATATTATTTTCACATACCATGACACATTGTT